AAAAAATAAGGTTTTTCTGCCTCTTTATTTATCACACAAGCAGATTTCGAATGATCAAAAAACAACTTCAGAGAAGCCTTTCAGGTAGCTGCAGACCAGACATGCATAGAGAGAACCGATGTCCGGAGACGGTCCTCAGAGAAGTACTCGCTCATTTTGTGCTTTAAAGCAAAATGTGAATGTGGTTTATTTTTCAGAAATATGCAGATAAAACTCAAAAATACTCATTAGCAAATTTCATCACTTGCAAATACATTTTTAACACGTGTAACCCATAAAGGTTACACAAAAAAGTCCAGAAAAATGCATGAATAAACAATGAAACAATCGAAGACAAATAATCAAAATATAGCAATGGCAACATTAAAGGGTTTGTGGCACAGGTAAAATTCTTTGTTCAGTTCCATTCAGATTTATTTAAACAGCGCCAGATCACAACAGCAGTTGTGTCAATGCGCTTTATACTGGAAGGTAAAGATCGTACAGCATTACAAAGAAAACTGAAAGAAGCACAACAATCTTTAATTTTCACTGTCATAATCAAAATTGTCATATATGCCCTGCTCAAGATGTACTGGTAGGCCATTTTCACATTTTACCTTCTTCTTCTTTCCTTTGAGTGCTAGAGACTTGTATTTACAAGGCTTCACACTTTTCATCTTACAGTCAATAACATCAAATTTGTGGGTGATGTATTCATTTTTTTTACCTTTACACAAAGCCTTAACCTTTTCTGCTTTCTGGTTGATAAACGTATTAATTCGCTTGCACTGATTGATGCCATTAACGTTTTTCATCATATCATCACATTTACGAGAGCCGTTTTCTGGAAGGATGTGTTTCTTTTTGAAATCATTGTAAGTTTGCGAGAGCACAGCAGCACAGAGCAGCAGCAACAGCAAACAGGCACTCTGAACCCTCATGATTCCCTGGGGAAGGAAAACAGAGAATATTTAAAGGAGTCTCTCCTCTGTACTGTTTTGGTTTCATTGATGTAATTCAACAATCATAAAAAACCTACTTAAAAAGCTTAAGATCAAGATAAAAACCATTTGTAGTAATCTAATCTGGAAAATGAACTTTGTGGTTATTTTTCTAAAAGCTTTTAGATTACAGGTACAATAAAACAATACTCACAGAAAATGATGTGTAAAATAATACTGCATAGACTTACCCTACTCTTTCGACTGTTAGTGTTACATTAGAAACAACCACAATTTTGTTTGCCACACTTCTCAAAATTATCTTAGTTTTTGCTTTACTGACAGCAGACTCACCTTGACTTGTGAGTTGGTTGCTGGTTTGGGCACAAGGTGGTCGTCTGCAGCACCAGCTGGTACAGATATCTTCAGTCAGTGAATTTCCCTGAATGTGGTGAATTAATTCTGTGTCAAACTAGACACAAATCAATGGAGACATTTCAGATATTAAGCTTGAGCAAAATCGACCTAATCACAGAAACCACATCATGTTTATCAGATATGCAAATTCACTGAGACTAGAATATGAGGGGTTCCTGTTGTCTTCCTGTCTTTATTGTCTGTAGAGTAGATTCAAACAGATTAAAAGGATTTTTATTTAGCATTTAGAGGATATTATTTCAAAGTGCATTTTATTAAATACATTTATTATAGTGTCACAACAAAAGTATGGAAACCTGTTTAATGTCCCATAAATTTGATCAGGTCTTCATTTTGACACAGAAATTTCACCTCAAAATCCTATGAACTTAAATAATGAGTCAAACACAACTTTTTCTTCATTTGCATTTTAAGATGATGAAACCCCAAAATCTGATGTGGATACCGATGTAGACGTGACCAAAGGGCCTAGACCGATTACTGCTGGCTTGGAGCTCTTTGAAGAACAAATACTGAAGAGTTTTCTGACAGAACACCTGACACATACAGATGATGACACCTCTGACTGAATGGGAATAACTACCTAAGAGCCTCCAACTACAAGATTTACAACAATAACAACACAGTCCTTTACTTTGAGTGTTTCAGTGTGTATATGTGCTGCTGGTATCAGTATCCAAACACTGGTATCTGATGGCAAAACTAAAGCTGGTGTAGTTATTGAACTAGGTTTAACACTAAATTAGCAGGTATTTCAGTCCCAGCGCTCTGATTCCCATCATGGTGAAGAGAGGTTGATTAAATTGGAACATGCAGAGGAATGTTAGAACAGAGGAATTTTTATCCCCCCCCCCCCCAATAAATACATAAATGAATAAATAGAATAAAAAAATATATATATATCAGGATGCAAAGAGATTAAATGATGTTTAAGTAGGTCTAAAGATCTCCGTAAATTTTATTACACTTGAGCAAAAAGTTACACAAATGCAAGCTTTTGTTAAAATCAAAATAGTTCACAGACTGACCTGTGTGCAGCTGAGGCTCATCCGAAAAGAGAAAATTAGAAAGAGGAAAAATGAACCCCGATTTCTCTGTGTCAGCCCCTTTTATGCTACACAACTTGTACTACTGCCCTGGTTACCACTCACACTAGCACACATAGCTTAGCAACCACATTTCCTGTCCACTTCATGTCTGTACTCTGAGCCTTTATGTGATACACACAAAAACCACACCAGCAGAGTCACAGCAATGTGGCTGCAAATGAAGGAAATGCACCTACTTTCTAGACCTACTTTCTTTACAGCAAGTACAAATATTTGTGTGTGTACTTTCCAGTTTTTATGTCTATTTACAAAGACATGCTTGCTTAAATACTTAATCACATCCTTGTAAGTAACAAACAGTTACAGACACTTCAGAAGAACTACTAAACTGTATGCACATTTAAAAATAGTTAGAAAGCAGAAACTAGAGAAGACATATTGTCATCTGCTTTTGCATTCAGACCTGACTTGTTCTCCACTTTGGTTCAGGAGGAGAGAGGAGTGTAGTGGTGGCTACTTGTGGTGGCTGAGAGTTACGGTACATTATTATCATCATTATTATTAAAGCTATGCATTATATCAGACAGCTGTAGTTAGCACCCTGCTAATCCAATGTAAAAGCAAATCAAAGCTGAAAGTCAGATCATAGTGTTGTACTTTGAATTAAAACGATAGTGTTACATTGTCAGTTACCACCATCGTGGGCATCTCTATGAGTTTATGAACAAAGAAACTGTGAATGCTAATAATCTACTTACAGCATCTATGGATGTCACAGTCACAAACCCATATGTCTACTAGAAAATACCTGAGTTCTTTAAACTGTCACTTTTAACTTTTAACTCAAGGTTTTAAAAGCTCTCATCGTTTTCAAGTATTTCCAGGTGCAGCTTCTTCATTGAATGGCAGGAGCGCCCTCTGCCGTTTACATAGAGAAGGGAAAAAGTTCACAGCAACTGGCATTCCCAGGCAATCTCCCTCTCCCACTCAAGATTTATAGTTGAAATGGTAAAAAGGCAAGGGCTAACTTGACAGAATACAGAATAAAGTGAGAATAGAAAAAAATATTTCTTTATTAACAAAAAAAGAGATGCAGTTGTTATTGCTAGATCGAGACTTGGCTACTGTTGGCTCTGATAGGGAAACAGCGAGATGGCAAATGTTAATGTAGAAGCACTACATTAGGAACATCCTAACTGAGTGAGTCAATCAACTAGAGCAGCTGTCTTTAATATGCACACACTTACAAAAACTTACACTTACAAAAACTTACACTTACAAAAACAAAGTAATTCTTGCTTAATTGGAAGACAGTGTCTTTTTACACTGTGTGTTTTTTGTCCTGTCTTCCTTCCCTCACCCCCAGTCAATGGCTAGGTCTGGTTCTGCCGGAGGTTTCTTCCTGTTAAAAGAGAGTTTTCCCTTCCCGCTGTCGCCAAGTGCTTGCTAACAGGGAGTCCTCTGATTGTTGGTTTTTTTTTCTCTTTGCTATTGTAGGGTCTTTGGGATTTGGCTCCCTCTGTTGGTCAATGAGATCTTGTGTACTTGCAAATAACTGTTGTTATAAATAAGACCCTACTAGACTGGATGTCCTATGTACAATTGTGCATTGAACTGTACTATATGCGTTTTTTTAAATTTTTTATTTCATTTTTGCACTTGGTAGTAATAATTTGTCATCTCACTTACTACTTGTCACAGCCTCCTGTGTTTCAGTTTACTTTACATACCACCAATTCACAACCATGGTTACATCAAGGTGCTTTATGCTGTAAAGAATCGACAATATTACAGAGAAAATCCCCCAAATCAGATGACTCCCTATGAGAAGCTCTCGGTGACAATGGGAAGGAAAAACTCATCAAAAGCATCGCCTTTTGCAGCATAATTAAGAAATGGGTCAGGGTCACCTGATCCAACACTAACTATGAGCTTTATCAAAAAGGACAACTGAAAAAAGACAAAATGCTTAAACA